AGAGAGAGAGAGAGAGAGAGAGATTTTCTCCTGGTGACGTTAAACGGTGGACTGACTGGCTTTTACTAGGAGGGACCTCGCTTTACTCACCTTGGCAATTAACACTCGCGCCAAAAGTGCGTAAAGTGCACGGACTCGCCTCGTAGGATCCCCTGCCCCCATTCGCCCGTCCCCCGTCGTCAGGCTCTTTTGCCAGGTCGTATCCTCCTTACTTTTTTGTCTTATCTCTTTCCCGTTGACGCGCAGGTTGCCTCGCGCGAAGGTAACGGGACCTGCTCGCGGTGGAAACACGAATGACGACGAAGAGGTCGGTTGCATTCCTAACACCATTCCTCGAATAATCCTGGTGCGGTTCGAATGGCGAATCTCGGCGTTACTTGACGCGGAGCGATTTATAAGAGTCGTTTCGTCGGGGAAAACAGACGGAGATGCGAGAACTGAGCGCAGCTACGCGAGAAAAAAAAAGGGGAGACGTCGTTACACCTTCCTGTCGTCTTGAGGAAGCGGAAACAGAAGCGGCGGGACGTCCGTCGTCGTCGTCGTCGTCGCGGGCGCAGCGGGAGCGGCAATAAAAAGGGATATTATGCTGTGTACACGGACAATCATCGTGGCTTAATTGAAAGAGTTTAAGCGCGAAAATAAGTTGGGAACTTCATAAACTTCGTACTCCCGGGACTTGCGCGAAATGTGTTACCGAAGACTCGTCGCGGTAACGTGTCCCGTTATATTACAGCGAAATTACTTTTTTAAATGAGGATGAATTATTAATAAATAAATCTTTCATCAACAGAGAATGTTTATCTTAACTTATGAAACGATCTTCCTCATTAGCAATTGAGAAATGGCACACTTTATTAAACTGATGTAGCGATGGGTTAAATGTATTTAATGAATGTTTATGCAGACATAATTTTGCGTTCACACATCTTGGTATTTGTGAAAAATAAAAAGAGCGATAAAAAAAAAGGTTATATGCGATTGCGCTTTGAGACTGGGCCATTGCGTGTGCTTTAATAGAGTTGAATAATCCTTTGCTTCAGCTGCACTTGGCCAAGTAACTAATTAACGAATTACCGGATCTTTATCTGCCAGCCGTTCACCGTTTTATTTGCTCTCTTGTTCGCCGTGAAATAAAGGCATTCGTACGTCTGTCGCTAATTAACAGTGAAAGCGATTTTGCAGCCACGCTTCTTTCCTTTCTTTTCACAATGGGAGTACTGGATTTATGTGGGCACCGTGAAACCCGCCTTTTTTTTTTACAACTTGACAATGAATGAATTAAAGTTTTTGAGGCTGAAAAAGCGCAAACGGCATTATTTTATTTTTATACTCCTTTGTACTTTATTTAACCCGTTGTTGTATTTATCATCCTCTCCGTTTTGAAATTTTATTATCGAAGTCTGCACGCGTACGCGGCAGAATCCCGGCAGAACTGGAACGATTCCTTCGAAGGAGATCTTGTTGTAAAAAGAGAAATTAAATTATCCCGCAGTATATTTACTAATAAAAAAAAAAAAAAAAAAAAAAATAGAGGAGCCGAGATTTATAAAACTTCATAAATTTAAAGTAGAGGCCGAGCCCCGCGCGCGCGATAACTCGCCCGTGAGTGCGCGAAGGGGTTAAATTACACATTTCTCATCCCGCGTCTACTTTTTGCTCCTTTCCGCCCGCGCCTTTTCCCACTTATCCTCGTCGCTTGGTTGTTTTTCTCCGCCCCAGTTTTCCGCTGTACGTACGGAACGTAACGGAAGAAATCGGGGAAAAAAAGCAATGCTGAGCGCATGGATGATCCACGGAACCGCACTCCTGCTCCGGAGGATCCTGGAGTCCCCTAACCCCCTCAAAACACGAGACGAGAAAGCGATAGCTGCCTCCTCTTCATTTTACCATTTACCCTCTTACCCTCTTGTCTTTGT